CTGTGATCACCAGAGTCAGCACCCTGCACACACCCTGGGGAGGAAACCCTCCCCAGCCCGTGCCCGTGGGCTGGCAGCAGCTGGCAGAGCTGCCAGGCTCCAGCAGCGTCACACGGCCGTGAATCAGGGTCCAAACTGGAGCACGCCTGGAAGGGGCCGGGGCAGGGTCGGGTAGGCAGCGGGGCAGAGCTACTGCCCTGGGTACCTGAGAAACGCAGGGTCTGATGCCTGACAGGCTTTCAACGACCTGACTGTGCTTGGATGACACAATCCTGGGGGAAGTCCTATGCAGGAACAGCGGCTGCAACCTTCCACTTTCACTTGGGTTTTAATTGCCTTCTTCAGATCCACCCTAAATGCCAAGGAGACTGTGGCAGGGCTTTGCCCCCACTTTTCCAACTGCAAAGCTATAATTAAATTTTAAATCACAAATAAATTATTCATATTTTTCTATCATGCATGATAAATTACTCTAAGCCAAAAGCAACAATAAAAAAAAATTGGCTTAATTATGGCAGACAAACGTGATCCTGCCCTGGGAACAGCCAATTCACTGAGGAGAGAACGATACTGAAGGTAACAATATTGTCTTTAATTACTCTCTTGGACCACAGGCTGCCCCAAAGTACGTCATTTCTTCCTCATGAATGCCTGTCTAAAAATAAAAATGGAGATAAGACTCTGAAGTTACTGTTCTTCCATTTCCCTTTGCATGCAACTTCATCCCTGCAGAGGGAAGGAGTTGAAATCCAGCGACATCCCATCCAGCTCCATGACCTCTTCGTTTTGGCTGCTGGCCTCAGGAGGGGCGGGGCGGGGCAAGAGCAGCCCCTGCATGGCCTCCCCCCTCCCCAGCCGGGGAGGGTCTGCTCCAGGAGGAGGTCAGCGCCGGGGGAGCCCTCGGGTCCCAGGGCAGCCCCGCAGCCCCGTGCCGTGTGCCGCAGCAGGAGCCCTCCTGCCTGTGGCTGCAGGACCAGCGGGGACATCACATGCTGCCCCCGGAAGGAAAGATGGGGTGATGGGAGCAAACCTACCTGTGCTGAGCTATGGCCCCTTCCTCACCTCCCCAGGGCCTTCACTGGGCTTTGCCTTGGAAGCCTGGGAACAAAGACAATGAGAAAGACCTGGGGGAGTATTCACAAGATGCCTGCAGGGTTCAGCCTGGCTATGACCACATCCCTACTAGAGACAAGGGAGAACTATTCACCCGTTAACACTGGCTCTGCCACCAGCCCTGGAGACCTGCCTGTTACCACGGTGGGGCCAAGCCCAAGCCTCCAGCTTTACCCAGCACCTGTGCAGCCTCCTGACCAGTCAGCTGGAAGGACACAGAAGCAGCCAAGGCAGGTCTGTGCTCAGTTTGGGGAGCTCAGACAAGACGTTCCTGGCACAGTAATCCCACACGCTGCCTGAACCTGTGCACAGCTACAGCTGGAAAAGGGGCAAACGCCAGCAGGCAGCTGGGACCTGAAATTAGTCCTTCCCTCCTGCCCAGCCGCAGGCAGGAGCAGGCAGAGCTCGATCCCCAGCCATGCAGCTCCCATCAGCTCTGGGACGCTGCCATGCAGACTGTTCCCAACACCCCAGCAGCTCAGTTCAGCTCTCCTCTGGAGGAAACCCGCTGGAAAGAGAACAAGCCCCTGGGAGGTGAAGCTGCCTGTGGGGAGCCTGAGCCAGAAGCAGCCCTGACCGACTCCTGGGGCGGAAGCACACGGCTGGCACGTGCCCAGCACGGGCACTGCCGCATGGCCGGCTGAGCTAAGCTGCTTCTGGTGCCCTGGGCTGTGACACAAGGTTGGTTCCAGGAACCAGGGAGCATCACGTCCCTGTCCCCATCTCTGCCCAAGTCCTGCAGCTGCACCAGCCAGCGCATGGCAGGGCCGTGCTCTCACCTTGGCACTTGCCTTGGCCCAGAGCAGGTAGCCGTTCTGGGACACCTTGGAGGGCCCAGTGCAGTTGCCTGTCCCCGGCTCTGCCCGTCAGGCCTGCAAACGCTGTCCTCACTCCTGTGCTGGTGCTGCAGGGGAGCGCAGCTCGGGCACATTTGGTTAGTGCCGGGGCCTCTTTCTACGCCCCCGGCACTGCCCTGGACTCCCAGAGAGTTCCCCTGCTCCCACCTCGCCCGTGCAGCAGCTCCAGCCCTGCCCTCCCCCTGCGCCCTTCGCCTCTGGTTAATAATATTTTCATGACTGTTTTAGACCCGGACTCTGGGATTCTCGGGGGATGTTTGTGCATGACATCACCCTCCCCCTCCTGTAAATCAGGCACTGGGCCGTGCATAGCCGTGACCCATTCATGACAGGGATAAAATCCAGATGTTCCAGTGCTATGTGCAGCTGGGTCATTTCCTTTTTTGGCTAAAAACGTGAGGCTTTTGAGGCAGACTGAAAGAGGAGCCCGGGGGCCCTTTGTACAGAAACCTTTTGTGGTTAATCCCTGGAAACAGCGCTGCAGAAACAAGGGTTTGTGGTGCTTCTGCTGGAGGACCGGCTCAGCTAGAAATCTGCTGGGCTGGAGCTGCTCCCTCACCCTTTGAGGGCAAGCAGCAGCAAAATCAGAGCCCGGCACAGGTCACAGGGCAGCAACGGCAACAAAAATCCTACTTGAAAAACCCTGCTGGCCATCAGAGCAAGAGCCTTTGGAGGAGCCGGGAAGGTGCACGCCCAGAGCCTGTGCTGGGGTCCCACATAACCCCCTGGGCTGTGCCCGTCGTACCGCTGAGCAGCACCCACCAGAGCCAAGCCCTTGTGCTGGGGACCGGAGCGAGGTGCTGGGCCAGGCAAACCCAGAGGAAGCCACAGCATCTGCTAGTAAACATAAAGGAATTTGGGGAAAATAGTTCCAGATGTTAGGGGAATAAATGGCTCCCCAGCTGATAAAAGGAGCAAGGAACACGCACCACTGTGGGGTAGGCTGCCAGGAGCAGACCACTGTTACCCTGACTGGAGACTACAGCAACTTCCCCAGCACCAAAGCTCCGCCGAGAGCCTGCGGGTGCAGACGGGGAGTAGGTGTTGCCGGGGGGAGGAAGCGGCTGCCCCAGGGATACGATCTGGCATCACGCCGGCCCAGAGCAGCGTCCTGGCTGCTGCTGAGCCCATCCCAACAGCCAGCCAGAGGCACTGGCCAAGCTCTGCTCAGGCCTGTCCTGAAGCACAGCCTGCCCAGACAGACATGAGGCACGGACAGACAGGCAGCCCCGGGAGCTGCTGCTCCTCTGCCATAACCCGTGGGACAGATCCAGCTGATGTTCGGTTTGTGGTTTGGGGAGGGGGGGCAGGAGCACTGTGGGTATTGGCCATGCCCAGCCCAGGGTCAGGGACGAGGACAAGGCTGAGCACAGGGCCCCAGCACTGATTCAGACAGTACCTGCCCTGTGCCTGCAGTTGGAGAGACACATGAGAGCAAGCGTCACTAAAACCGTTTATTATATAAAGCCGTAGGAAATACACAGGAGGCTGAGATTTAGGACACTTCCTTTTAGAGACTGCTCCAGGCTCCTCAGAATAGCAAATACACAAACTCTGATTTGCCTGCATCAAAGCTTTCAAACGAGGATTCAACGGGGATCTGAATACAGAGTTAATAACACGTCAACATGCATAGCATTTTCTGTTCCTAAGTGAAGCTGGGGGGGCTAAGCCCCTTCATCCTGCAGTCGGTTACAAAATGACAGATATTCATGACCAAAGAGTACAAAAGGAAAAGAAAAAAACACCAGATGCTTTCAGAAAAGCATGTGGGTGTCCAAGCAGGAAAGCAGGGTCAGCAAGTGGCCCAGCAAGAGAGAAGCAAAAGGGATGTAGAGACAAGGCAGGCACAAGCATCCCACTGCAGAGGGGCCTCAGGGGGGCCCCGAGCCAGTCCAGCCACTGGGCAAGGACAGCTCAAGCCCGTGTGTGAGCCTGGGGCGACTCAGGATGTCTTATTTTGCAGCACTAGGGCCAATGCATGGACTTGGTAGATGCAAAACCTCTCCTCAGGGCAGCCCTGGTGCCACCTTTGCTTTGCTTCTTGTTTGGGACACAGCAAGGGATGCGTGTGGCTGGGGCAAACCTGGTGAGGGCAGGGGGACACTCAGCCCTGTCAGGAGCAGGTCATGGACACCCCAACTGCCCCTCAGCTGACCTCCATGCTGGAGCCCTGTGCTGCCACAGACCCTCCCCTCCAGTGCAGCCACAGCCCGTGGGCAATGTTCCCCTCCCCAAATTAACAGGTCTTTGGTGTTACCTGTGCTGCTGGCAGCTGGGCTCAGTGCAGCAGGCCCCATCCCACAGTTCCCCACGAGAGGGACGGAGCAGGAATAAAGCCCTCGGTGGTCTCAGCCTTCAGCACACCCTTCTCTGGGCTCAGTCAGGTGCATCTCAGGGGGGACCACCAGCAGGCCAATACCCACAGCTCCAGCTCAGACATCACAGAGCAGCCATGGGGGATCACAGCAAGGATGGGCAGGAACTGGACAGGGAGGTGATGGGGGCAGAATGCCCCATACCTGGGAGTCTTTCAGCTCCTGATCTTCATCTGAGTGAGAGCACCTCCATGGAGATGCGCAGAACAAACAGTCTGGCCCATGAGCGGTGAGGTGGCTACAGAAATCCAGAGGTGGATGCCATCTAGCAGGACACATGCTCTTCTCCAGGCCACTCTCCAGCCTGATGTTCCCAGACCTCCCAAACGGGGCAGAGAGTCCCCTCCATGCCCAGGCTGCACACACAGAAAGGCTGTGCTGCAAAGCCACCTGCCATGCAGGTCAGCACGGCCAAGCTGCACGGACCAGGAGCCGCTGCCTTGTATCACACCGAGCAAGGGAAGCACACGGGGAGAAGAGAAAAGTCAGCACTGTGCCAGGGGAGCAGACAGATGCTGCCAGCATGCAGATCCAGCAGCCCAGCACTGAAGCCGCTGCCACTGCCCTTCACTCAGCTGGGACCCTGGGCTCAGCTTGTGCCTGGTCAGACAGGAAGCAAAAGGAAAGAGTAAATAACGGGGAGGGGGAGGGGCTTAAAGCTCCTGTTTCAACTTTATTTAGCTCTGGCTCTGCTCAGAGCCACAGCACAGCGGACTCTAGCCTTCAGGGAGGGGCACAGGAACCCCCTGAACACACCGTGGTTCAGGGTCAGCCCCCATCTCCTGTGCCTTGTGCCCTGCCCCTGAAATGTTGTTGGGGTATCTGGCACAAAGGCGTGAAGAACAGAGAAAGCCCCTGCCCCACGCCGTCCTCGGAGGCTCACAGGTCGCTGCTGCAGCCGCGGCACAGGATCTCCTCGTTGGCAGGGATGAAGCCCTGCCCGACCAGCGAGGCGCCGCAGCGGGCGCAGTTAAAGCAGTTGTGGTGCCAGTGACGGTCCTCAAAGGAGACGTATTTACCACCACCAAAGCCTACGGGAGGGAGAGAGTGCAGCGTTAGGACCCCTGGGGAAACTGGGGCGAGGTGCCCGCCCAGGCTGGGCCAGGGCTTCACACGCAGTGCTGCGCGGTGGCACCCGATGCCTCCCGGCACCGAACGCATCTCAGACAGATCTCCACTCCCGGGGAGGAAGAGGACCAAAGCCATTTCACACCAGATTTTTGCAGGGTTAAGATCCTTGGACCAGAATCACCATTTTCTCCCCAGAGAATGAATGCAGGGAATGAAGCTGGACCATCACAGCAACCAAGAGGGCTGTCAGGAGCTCTTGGGAGCACTGCGAGAGCAGCTCCTTCCAAGGACAGTGAAACCCTGGGAAGAGTCCTCCTGCCACCAGCCCAGGCCTGGGCTTCTGCAGAGGCTCTTCAGGAAGCTTCCTTCCTCTGCCACCAACAGTTGCATTTGTCAGCTGTGACCCCCTTCTCCCCAGGACTGCAAAAACCTGATAAGGACCAGATGGGAAGTGGGGTGCCCAGGAGCTGCTAGAGTCATCCTCTGAGTCAGCAGCTGATTCACAGCTTTGCCTGCCTTCTCAGTAGCAAGAGACACAAGCTGAAAAGGGAAAGGTCAAGCAGGGGAGGACAGGAAGGAGGCCGGGCTCTCTCAAGCATTTCTGCAGAAGATGAACCCCTACTTCCCCTGTCTTAGGCAGGTACAAGAGGTCCAGACTCCCCTGCAGCAGTTGGTGCTCCAGCTCCAGCTGGAAGTCTCTGGCTTTCTCTGCGAGCAAGAGAAAGCTTTTCTCTCTGGCTTTTCTCGGCCACATCTTTCCACAGGATGTGGCAACTAGACTCAAAACAAGGCAAGCTAGAAACACAAGATCACGCTGTGAGGGGTCACTGTGGGGGCCTTTACCCCTGGGCAGAGGGAATTCTTCCACAGGGGCACAGTTCACCACTCTGAAAGATGTAGATGAAAAGACACGAGGCCTGAGGACCACTGCAACAAAGAGATCCTCTCTCATGGGATTCCTCTGGGTTGTTTCTGTGGAGGATGTGCCTGAGGGCACCTTGCACTCCCCAATATTTTTGCCAGGGGGCCTGAAGTGTCTGGAGACATGTGAGCAAGCCTGCATGGTGGAGACACGTAGAAGCATCATATGGGCCTCAGTCACATTCACTCAAGAAGGCAGCTTTACCCAGAGAAGTCACCATGTGTCTGGAAACAGGGCAGGTAGGTCAAGCCCTGCTCTGCAGAGGAGCAAGTTCACCAGGGCCATTTGCTCACCTGTGATGGGCTTCGTGCAGGCACTGCACTTCTTGGCATAGAGGTTGCCAAAGCACTTGATGCAGTACGGGTTGTCATCCTGGGAGGTGAACTGCTGCCCGGCCAGGGGGGTCTTGCAGCCCGTGCAGACAAAACACTCCTTGTGCCACGGCTCATCCCGGTAAGTCACTCCTCCCTTGGTCAGGGTCTGCGGGGACACGGCGCACGCTGGTGACACACAGGCAGGGGGAGCGGGCCGCAGTGCATGGCCAGCAGCTAGCTGGGGTGCTGGCACCTGAACCCCTCTCTGGGCAGCTCAGAGAGGAGTGGGAACATGTCCCTGGGTCAGAGGACTCGGGGGCTTTGCGCTCTCAGGCCAGACGTACCTTTTTGCAACGAGTGCAGCGAGGAGCGAACTTGCTCTCGTAACAGGGGACACAGTAATAATCCTTCTTGTCTGGGATGAAGGACCGTGACCCAATGGGCTGCTGGCAGCTGCTGCATATGAAGCAATGCTCGTGCCAGGTCTGTCCGTTGTACTCCAGCTTGCGGGATCCTGCAGAGAGAGCCGGTCAGTGCCAGGCAGCGGCAGCACACGCACACACGGGGGGCACGGGAGGCTGCCCAGGCTCTGCGGCCCTGCACCCCCCACCCAGCTCTGTGCCTGCCCTCCCCACGCAGCATGGGACCACAGCAAGCTGGAGAGGGGAGGCCCCAGGCCCAGCCCACAGCAGCTTGGGGAGGGCTGCGGGAACATGCCCCCAGCACTGCACACAGGCCTTGGCAGAGAGCCTGTTGTAACCTACATCTGAAGATGGTGCCAGAATGGCCAAGCAAAGACACTCCTTTGCCTCGGGTGATCTCCAGAGATGCTCACACACCTTCAGTCATTCCTTCTCCTCTTGTCAGCACACACCAGAAAGTGCCCAGGGAACCCTTTGTTATCTCCTCCCCAGCTCACTTCCCCACAAACAAAATGGGAACGGGCAGACAGGGCTGCTGTAGTGATTGCAGCTCGGGGTCCTGCTGTCCCATCAGACAGGCAAAGCGCCTGTCCCGCTCCGAGTGCTGACAAGGAGGCAGGAGAGCAGAGACTCATCTAATGAGGCAGGAGAGCAGAGACTCATCTCTCTTCCTTGCTGCCTCACTGTTGGACCCTGCAGCCCTGGCCGGTGACACTGGGACTAGGAACCAACTGCAGTGCTCGAGTCTGCCCATTCCTACCTGGCATGACCGTCTTCTCGCAGGCAATGCATTTGGAGGAGAACTCGCTGCAGTAGCAGTCGTTGCAGAGCAGCTCCTGGCCCTGGCAGGTGAAGGGCTCGTCGGCCAGCGAGCGGTC